TATCGACTTCCCGCGGATGGTGTTTGGCGATTGTCTGAGAACTCTTTCACATAACGATTAGGATAAAGGTGATATTGTCGAGTCATTCGTGACTTAATATGCGTATTGCACACTATGTGCTCTAGACGGATTAAAAAATTAGAACCTTCGCATTTGCAGTAAATTCTATTGGTTTTCTTTCTCTTTTGTTTCTGTTGGAGACATTTTGGTCAATAGAACACATCTGTAAAGTTTATTAGGTTAGAGAATGTTCTACTGAAAAGTCACTAGTAGGGGTGCCGTCGCTAATCGGATATAGTGTGCAATTTCACATATTAAACTACGAAGGACTCGAGGATACATGCCAAGCAAAGCAGCACACTATGCACTTAAGATAAACATAGCTTTGGTTGAAAGTGGTCGACATTAGAAGACCATATAGTGGACTGATTTTATCTTTTAAACCCAGTCATGAATTTGTCATAAAAGATGGGTTCAGGCGATCTGTTTTCACTGTTGCAGAAGAAGATAATGAAAACAAGTTCACGCGCTTTTGATGAGCTTCCGATTGCTTCGATTTGGGAAAATCGACATTATTTATTACATAAATCGACCATCTTTAGGTTCGATCACATAGCCCTTCTACTTTTGATGAATGATGCTAGAGCCTCTGATCTCACTACGTTGAATCTTACCGCATTTGATTTTTATATTGCTAGTTCGGGTGAGTCCATTTCTATCGATGACAGCTTCTTCGACTTTTTGCTTCGAAATAAAATGTCTGCAGTTTAAGACGAAGCAGATCCGAACTTGCGAGCCATGTTACATTACTGCCGACCAAAGCGCATAGATGGTAAAGTGAACCTTAGCGGTAGCACTAACACTTTATCGAAGGTTTTGATAGCTGGTAGACCAAAGGTATGAACTTTGATAATTAATTTTTGTACCAATCGCCTGCTCTCTCTAGGAATGGTTAACGCGATTCTCAAGCCAGCTAGGAATAACTGGTGAGTCGGAGACAGCATCAAGTATGTTGGAAATGCGTCAGTGGCGGGATTATTGGACAAAAACAAATGGCACTGATGGCCGATTTAGCCGAGTGGGTAGGCTGTGATTCGGATTGTGCCATGATCTAACCAACAACTCTAGAAACTCGTGACTGCTGAGGAGATTTTGCGAATGACAAAGAATGCCACGCCACTGAAGATTGCAAGTTATGACACAGTGCTAGAAGCGGTGAAAAAAATGGCACAAGCAAGTTTTTCAATTCAAAATCCATTAATCAAAGCATA